CGATGCCCAGCAACTTCATTCACGATAATAATTTTTCTCATGAAACTCGGAAAACGCGGAATATCAGAAACTCACTCAATCTCACGCATTTCCCCTACATCACTGCCCATAAACGAACAATATCGTGCGCCACATCCTGATGTGCTGAAAAGATGCATTTTCAAAAACGAAGAAGACAAACGGTATTGGCAAGGGAGGAAATGGAAATTTCGTAGGTGTTTCAGAATTCAAAATCAATAAGTTTCTCTACACTTCATGCTAAGCCTGCTACAGTGAAGAGTAGTTTATCCAGTTGATCGCTCCAGACTTGGAGAAAAGCACCTCTTGACACAACCAGTTTAGCGCCGCATGCCGTCAGGCGCAGTTCGTCAACGGATTTTTGGCAATATGAAACGGGGCAACTGACATCGTCAGAATTGGCTCCGCCCACCCTAGGCAAGCTCCACCCCCACTGATCACGTTCGACTCCCCTCCTTCGTCAACCTCTCCACTTCTTTCTGATCCAGTTTCGGTCATTGTGGGCTAGCCTCCGTTCACTTCAATGAGCTCAGTTTGTCTTACGATTAGACATGCCCTTCTGCACCAATTTTTCTTCTGCTTTGAGGTGTTTTATAATCGTTTTATGCATTCTTAGTATGCACCGCTCATTCAAAAAACCACTTCCCCACCGACCGAACACGGGTCTGCTAATTTAGTGTGGCAACCCGGGTCCGTCTGGTTGATGATCTCGCACATTGTTCACTGAACCTTATCGAGGGTTTCGAGTCTCACAACTAGGTGACGTCCCCACACTTTTAAGGTTCTAACTATTTTGCTGCAACTGGTTTTCTTCATCTGCATGTCAACCTAGGTCAACGTCAGTGCCAGCACTACGCATTTTTGCATTTTCGTATTTTTGCCCCCAAGCGCTTTGGAGCATATCCCTTCAAAATGCATAGATGAACCCAACTCCTCACCGCAGGCAGCAGCAATTAATGGGCAACCAATTTGAATAATTCTATACAAAAGAAACCTGGTTGCCGAGATGAAGCTTTCGCTGCGTTCCTCTCCAGTCAAGCAATCCTCTGACCTGAATTCCTTTTTTTGAGAGAGATAACACAAAGTTAAGTCAAATCAATTTAAGTGAGGGAAGATCAGAATTTGGTGTCGTCGTAGACAAACACACTGCATCGCCTTCGAGACATTGTGTTTTTCCTATGTGACTCAACTCTCTTGGGTTTTGGAACACGAGCCGTGAAGAAAAATAGCAGTTATCAGGAGCAAAGTGAATCAAAGCTATCAATTAATTTTTTGAAGCTCACAGTGGATATGCCGTGCTGTCAGTGATCGTCCTTTCCCAAGCCGTGCGCAATTGAATTGGTCCTTCTCTGGAAATTAGTGTCATATTTGAGCTAGCTCTGGATCGTCTTTAGTGAAGGTTATCACCCTTTTGCTTTTAACACGTTGACGACCGCCGTTGTGCGCGTACTGGTTTCAACATTTTTCGTATTCTCTCATCAATAGGCATCAATCTTTCGCTGGCGCAACCCTCGCAACCCGCGATTCGCTGTCAATCGCTGGATTCGCAAAGATATGACGTCGCCGTAGCGTTGCTGGCGGGTAATTATAATTTCAAAGCAAGGAGGATAATATGGCGACGTTGGCGTGGATCGGAGAACTATTTCGTTCCACTTTACATCCAACTTTTAAAGGCAAACCCGGGATTGAAACTGGTGCTATGAGCGCTTCGTAGTGATAGCTTAGCTGCGGAACGACCTGAAAGTGGAAAGGAAAGCAAGAGAAATCTTTGGGAACGCTGAAATTAAGGCCTTAACCTTCAATAAGGTCGGATGTGGTACGATGGCGAGACAGGGCGATCAAAGAAGACAAAATACGCGAGAGAGCACGTCGTTTGAGAGAGCACGCTGATCTCACCACCTCTCGCGGTGGGTGGGAAGCGTTGGAACGGGGTGATGGTTGCAGGCCCGTAAGGATTAGCGCCCTAACCGCGCAATTTTTGCGACGAAGCTGGAGTGATCTAGGTAGGTACGGACCTTACAATTTCCCTCGTGGTATCCCTTCCTACTAGTCGGGCTAATCCCGGGGTTTGCCTTTAACGTTTTCTCCGGGTGGTATGACTTGTTACATCACATGTCCCCTTTGGAAGAGTCCCAAGATCAATTTCCAATTATCTATTTTACTCGTTTACGAATCCAATGTTTTGTTGTGGATTTATCGAGTGGATAAGAACTATTAGACAACCCACATAGCTGTTCGAGTATCATCCGCGTCAAATAATGGTAACCACGTCAATTTTGTTTTCGTCTTCAATGCAGACGTCGAGATTTCACGTGAACTTGAAGTCGCTGTCCTTAATATGACTGAACCCTCATCGGAACTCGTTCTGTCTCCACGTGCTGGTTGGACGTTTGCACACTTGGCGCTGAGTATGATATCGAAGACCCGATTTGCAGCTTCGATTTCAGATTCGGCAGCCTCTGCGGTTTCCATGTCTCCAGTGTAGAGATCGGCCGTCATGACGTCAACCGATGAGAAGCTGTGTGCGGAACAGATGCTGCTGGGTGGCTCAGAGCAGTTCGAGAGCCAAATACCGGTGGAAACCGAGTTCACACGACGGGATTTATTCAAACCGTTCGCAAGCCATCCGTCGTTGGCCGTGCGGATGGAAGCTGAATCCCATTCGGATGGATCCGCACTAAAACTGCACGTGGCTGCGGTTGGATAGAGGATGGTGGGATCGTTAGCAGTCGCAAGACTGCTACTCGAATACGAGTAGTTACAGTAAATATCTGAGATCTCTTCACTCATGTATGAGAGTTCCAGGGAGTCATCTGCAGTGGTGACCTCTTCACTTGAATTAACCTTTCCGGCAGCACCACGAATCTGCTTGGATGTGCTAGATGAACGGGAACGAGATGGGCTTTTTGCTCTTGCAGGACTTTTCGCTTTTGCTCTTCCCTGGGGCGCTGGATTGGTCGGCTTCGGTGGTTCTTCGACCTTTTCTTTCGAATTCTTGGCAATCTGGTCGGCCCTGAACATATGTAAGTGGCTCCTGATATTGTGGCAAACTCAACATTTGAAACAACAATATTGCATCATGTATTCTATATTAATTTACTGCAATTTTTCCGAAAAGCATTTACTGGTATAGATTTCATAATATAATGGATAATAAAACTCTACTTGGAAGGTAACGGTAACTCAGAACCTTTCACTACCATTAAATATGATGAACTCTGGACCGCAGTAGACCTGCCGAGAGGTGATACCTACCACTCCCTCCCCTTCCCAATTTCCCTAGGTAATATCGAAGAGAGCTATAGGTCACACCAGCCGAAGACGGAACACGTTCGATTATCCTCCTAGATTAGGCCCCTGAAGCTGCGCAATGATTGATGGGTAAATTTAGGCTAGCTACGACACAATCAGGCTTGCCCTACTCAGTTGTGACCTGGAGCGGTATTCAATCCTTCCCCCAGGGGGATATATCCCCCTCCTCTGATTCAATCCTCTGGGGGACAAAAAAGGGTTGCGTCATAGGACCTAGCATACCTCTGTGTTTCTACCTGCCAGACAGTTAGAGCAGCGCTACTACCCTCCACTGATGAAGCACTCTTTCCCTGAGGGGTCGCGCTGCTCTAACTGTCTGGCAGGTAGAAACACAGAGGTATGCTAGGTCCTATGACGCAACCCTTTTTTGTGTCCCCCCAGAGGATTGAATGGGCGCCCCTGGCCTGACGAGATGAATTGGTAAGCCCCCCCCCCACAGATCACTCCCCTTTACCAACGCAAACCGGCGTCCCTCGCGCTCACAAATGGTTTTATCACCTTGCAAACATTTGAATGATACGTTGTTGCTTTCTTCGTGAAGTTTCTCGGAGTGTTTATGCTACGAAATATACTCTGCATAGGCCCCATGGCTAGATTTCAAAACCAAGAGTTTACGGTGCTAAGTCGAAAATTAGGCACGACTCTTGAGACATCCTAATAGCAGCGAAGTCACGTTTATTACAGATACTATCACATTCGTTGGCCTTCAACAAGTGTGATTTGTATGGAACGCCATGAACCAAACTGTCTGACGTCGAGTGACGCAAGGGGAAAAGAATACTCACACCATCTCCTTATATTGAATGTTGAGATTAGTTTCAGATTTCATTGCTGCCACGAGTGATGGCCGAATGCACAGTTCCGCTGCTCCTTGAATTTCCTTCCCATGCTCATATTCAAGCGATTCCTTATTTTCTGGGTCTAATTCATCCGGTGAATTTGAGGCGTTGCTAAAATTGAATTCCAGTTGGACTTTCTATACAGAACTATTTGAGAGAGACACATCTAACAAAGGCCAGCGCGCTGTAGTAGGATTATATGCCGCTACGACATTTGAGGGGCTCCAACGATACAGTCTCTCAACGGCTAACGTCTACGTCAGCTCATCACACGAGGAGAAAAGCGAGTTATTGCGACGCGATAAAGGAGGAATTCACGATTAGAATGAAGGTCGAAGAAAGGGAAACTGACCTAGTTGAGGGACCCACGGACCTCCTGAGGGTGCGAACTGACGCGCAATTCGCATGGAAAAATTTGACCTCGGCGACCTATCATGCCTCAAAGCTGGCGGGTCCGGCGATCTCCGCCCACCGATCATCTGATCACTCGCCGTAGTTCAATACGTGGCGAGTGATTAGATAGCTGAGAGAGCGTAGTGTTGAAGAGGGCACAGCGATGAGAGTCGCATCAATGCTCGAATCAACGGGCAAGGAAGGGGTACCATTTCTCGGGTTCTGGGCCGTTTCTCATGGTTCTTCCTTCTTTCGTGTACCACTCACCATCCCTAGGTTAATTTGAAATGGGTTGCTTTTTCATCGTGAATTCGTCCTTTAATTACATGTGTCTAAAAAAAATAACTGGCTTTAAAGTTGTTCCATAGATCAGAAAATGACTCTGGATGTACGACACATTAATGAGCTCCATCAGAGCTTCCAGAAACAATTGCGATAAAAAGGAAGGGATTAGGCAGGTTAGATGCGTCACGCGTAGCTGCAGCTCGACTGCCAAGGAAGCGAGGTGTGGCGCTTTTGGAAGGTGCGCTGGTTGCTGAGCAGTACTTGGAGAAGCTTCCGTCCCAGAAGCGTTCTACTCGCTAGTTTAGCTGGCGATTCGGACGAGCTGTGTGGCCAGCAGCGGCACAACTGGGGCAACTCGCCTCGAGGCATGGTTTGTCACGGTGCCACCAAACGCGCCGCGGTAAAGTCGTCCATGCATCCCCCGCCTTACAACGGAGGTTTTCCTGGGCATGCAGCGCTTTTTCTGAATGTTGTAGATGCAGAAGAACGCAGAACCATGGTCCATTTTTCCTGAACGCCCCAGGAAAGTCAAAACTGCGGAGAAGGAATGGTTGAAAGTTCGATACTCCCATTTGACAAGTTTTTGCTATGCATGTTGGCCCCCCTACATTGCAAACATGACAATGACATCTTTCTCAAAATGTCAGCAATCTGGGAGCGCCAAACTATGTTGCAAAAATTTAATAATCACCGGGGATCAAAGTTGGACCACTTCTTCACTACTGTTTCGACATTTCTGGAGGCGCAGGAAAATTGGACCATGGTTCTGTGTTCCTCGCATGAGCCCCTACAACATGCAGGAAACCATTCCGTAAAAGCGCTCCACGTCCTGAAAGGCCTCCCTTGTTAGCAGCTGCCCTTCCGCGAGCAAAAATCAACGGCCACACAAGGGAGCCCTATTATGCGTTTTCTACACGGATTTCTCCACGTTTTTTTGCCACCGGCGTACCATTGAGCACCCCATATCCCTTCTAAAGTCCTCTTGAACCTAGTAATCGCTGGCCTCTAACTTTGACCTTTTTTGCTCTCATATACTAGCATACTATGACTAAAGACCCTTACCCAAATGTTTCTCCATTGTCCATAATATCCGTTTGTTTCTGAAAGTTTCGATATGCGAACCTTCACAAGGCATGAAACAGTTTGTACTCGAATCACAGTGTAAACTCACGTCGACGTTTTGGTCGGAAGAACGAATCGAAAAGGGGACCCAACTGAAATTAGGTAGTAATCCACTCCAGACCAAAATTGATCCTACCAATTCTTTGCGGTCGCTTGACACAGCTACACCTTCAGACTTATTTCAAGGGCCACATACCCCATTAGTGTGGTGGCCTTCTTCCAGACGTACTCACCATGTCAACAAAGTTACTACGGAAAGGAACTCAAAAGCATAAAGCTATAGCGCATTAAAGGCGGATCATACGATGAAAAGGTGTAGAGGTGGTCAGTGGAGCAGAAATGAAGAAGAAACCATGAGAAACGGCTCGAAACCCGAGAAATGGGACCCCTTCCTTGCCCGTTGATTTCCGCATTGATGCGACTCTCATCGCTGTGCCCTCTTCAACACTACGCTCTCTCTGCTATCTAATCACTCGCCGCGTATACAGGGGGGGGGGCAAAAAAAGAGTCACTTTGCCCATGGCGCATATCATCAAACTTTTCGTCGCAAAGGATGCCGCTGTTATTGGGAGTTATACGGCGAATTATTCCTTAGATGTCCCCCATAAGCAGAATCAGGCCCACCTTCGCTGCTTTCACCGTCTCCAGAATATGACGTCATCTGTCATCACCGTCGAGCTCAAGGAGGCCTACCATAATCGCTCCATTCTGAAGCTGCTACATAAATTCTTCAATCGGATAACTGGTGAATGACTTCTTAGAGACACTAGCTCTGAATATGCAAAATGGCTTTTGACCAGCGTTTCAGAGACGTCGTAATCGTCTATGGTTTCTCGACGACCTCGTTGAGCTCGTACCGCGAACCATGTTTCCGTGGGAAAATCTTCTGATGTCGTCGGTGTAGAAAGGCCCCTATGTGATTTTTTTGATAGAATAGAATGTGCTCTTCAATATGCAATTGAGCTCATTCGGTTTGGTTCCGGCAAAGTGTAATTAATTCTGTTTTGAATGTGAGTCAGTGACTCTTTTTTTGCCCCCTGTAGACCTGCAGCGAGTGATTAGACGTCGGTGGGCGTTCCAGACTAACTGCGCCGAGGAGATGGCCATACTAGATCGCTAGGGCATATCCTTCGATGCAAATTGAGTGGTGGTCCGCATACTTATGCTTGTTAGGGGTCTGCATGTCTCTCCACTATGTAAGTTTAACCCCTCTGCGTCCTTCGTTGTCATCGTGGAATCCTACTTTAACTCTGTCAATCCATGCATGGAGGTAGACTGAGGGTCGCACCCGTGTATAGGGACTCCGGCAGGCATCGCTTCCATCAGCTTCGCGCGGGAAATCTCCCAGCTCCTCGTCTAATCGGAGGCGGCCCAATATTCACTTCATTATATAAACCAGAACTTTGGTGTGTCGGTTTGTCGGTGTGTGTGTCGTTCTGTCCGTCCGGACCAACCGCTCACAAAACCAGGGAGTACGAAGGGCAACACTTCGTGATGTTGATGTCATGATCATGATAACACCCACAGCGGCTATATAAACCTATCTTAACACACTCAGCCTCATTCTACATGGTGCTGCATGCAGCCGGAGGGAGGGTAGAAAGGAGAAAAGGGGCAGAAGGGGGAGGGGAAAAGAAAGGGAAGGGCTGGGGGAGGGAGGAAAGAGGGGATAGCGCACCGCTTTCTATATTACGGTTCGATCCGGTGTTGAGGAATTATTGCAACGTGATTGTGATAATACCTCAACGGCTATATAAACACCTACTTAGTACACTTTCAGTCATTTCACAAGGTGCTGCAGTGGCAGCTGGAGAGCAGTAAGGGGAGGAGGGGAGGATAAGAGGAGGAAGGAGGATCGCCAAGCTTCGCAGGGAAATGAGGGTCCGGCGGTTAATCTGATTGGTACATAAATCAGAGCATTATTTGTACAAACGGACGCGCTCTGAAAGTTACCGTATAGGAAAGGTACGAGCTGAGTCCCATTACGATTCGAATGAAAGCAAATGCGGCCTCATCTGGGAAAGGGTGTGATCACCGCACTCAAGTACTTCTTAAAGGATTTCTTTCCTCAATCTCATTCTTAGCTTTTCTTTTTTTCGAAATAAACATTTTAACATACACTTTTGTATTGTCGCTCCAAGGTTTGTGTATCAACTTGGGAAAGCTGAAAGCATCAGAAATAGATAAGTTTTGGGAACAGGCACCCTCTACAGAACACGGTTAAGCTCAACTCATAACACTTCTCAGCCAAGCTTATCTGCATCTGTAGAACTCGCGACAACTTAGCACCTCGAAACACCTCAATGCGCTAAGCGCCTGCGATTTCGATCGGCCGATACCCATTCGATCCGTGCCCACCCACCTTTGGATATCTTTCCCATGTAGTATTGTGACCATGTGTGCTCTCTCGACTGAGAGTTTTTGCACCTCTCCGCGACTGATCATCTCTCATTTCAAAGCCTGCTTGTGATTCTGACTTTCCCGCAGCTTAGAGCAGAAGCATCGTATGTCTGTGTTCTTGACAATATATCTTCCTTTTTTCTCGACCACTTCACATCCCTTTTTCGTATTCGGGTGGGTTACCACATCAAGTTGATCCTGAGCCCAACCTTTAACTCTTAAGCGGCAAGTTTCCCAATGTTGGGTGGTGTCCAAGTTCTAGAATACGTAGATTTCTCGCAAACATTCAGTGAAGGGCGTGGTCATGAACGCACTGCGGTACTCTGGTCGCCATTACCCATGCATGTTCTACGGTTAGAACTTTACCGAAAAGAAGGTTGAAAGTGCTACTCTTATATAAAGCTTGTAACTGTTGGATTTATAGAACCGGTTTTCCGCTTGCAGTCAGTCAACGCACCAACTACGTCTAACGAAGAGAAATCCGATTGGCAGTCTTCAATCATGGGATTCTCGAATACATAGAACACGAAATGTTCAAACACCAAATTTGATTCGTCGCGAGAAGTTTCCTCCTTGTTAAGGGCGTCTGCAGTACGAATCTCAACCTTTCTCTTTCAGATATGCGCACCCCTGCAGAATACGCGTTGGCGTCGATCATTCTAGTATGAGCGCTTTCCTCTGTTAAATGTAACGGTTGCGTCGCCACACACGATACCAAAATGCAGTTTCCTTTATCTGCATGGAATGCATCATCTTTGTTGTCGGTACATATGCGAGGGCGATTGCAGTTCTATCTGGGGCAAAGAACCAGCAATAAATGCCAGGGAGCACCTAGTTCGGACAGCCACGTCCTGCCCCCGCCCCTTGTTTAAGGGAGAGGGAATCCTCGATGAGGCTTCGTCAGGCGTCTTTTTTTGGTTACTCACAATTACCTCAAAGTACCTATTACCAGGGAATGTCAAAATGTGCCGGTTTTAGATCGGAATTTTCCTGACTAATCTGGTAATTGGTAAGAAGTGTTGTGGTGTTTTACCTGCTAAGTACCAATATCACAATTCATCAATGCACAAACCGCTTGGCACTCACAGAAGAGTATTTCCACGGCGCTTGAGCTACACAGTAGTTTGCTCACGGCGCGCTCGTAACCAGCTGCATAATCTCACGTCTCAAACGACTTACAGAATCTTCGCGAAAAACACTATTTCTATTTATCAGCCTCACTAATTCACTGCTGAATACTCATTACTCACACGATAATAGTGAAACAGAACCAAATATGCTTTCGTTGATTTAAAATTTCGAAACTCGTAAAACGGCCGCTAACGCGTGTCGAAATTGCCAGACACGGACGTCTTTCACGAATGCTGGCGAATGGGGATGCTCAAACTTGGTTCTTGGAGTGCATTCACTAGAAGCTCTTTCTGGCCTTCTGCTTCGTTGCATTCACATCTTACACTTCTACTCCATCCTATTCCATCGATCGATTTGTCTCCACTCTCCGAAATCGCGCGCTTTAACCCGATTCTCTCATTGCGTCGCCTGGTACGTAGCCGGCCAAACGCCGTCTTCTTTCCATGCCTCGCCTGGCTCTGCCTCCTGGTCCTTCGATGGTCCATAACGTGTAGTTTTTGTACGTTTGTTTCTCTTCAGAAACCGAATCTTCATGCGTGAAACTTTGTGTGCTATTTCCAGTGATCACAACTGACATATTCATGTTAGGAAAGAGTGCAAGAATTTTCCGCGCAAGATTCCTTTAAGTTATTCGATCCATGGATCAAGACTTCCCCACCACGAACAATATATTCGCAGCGACAGTTGTGGGATCTATATCGGTGTCTATTACAGGCGTACCTATTTTTTTCCCGATGGGACTCGAAGCCGTTAGACTATGTCCAGACACTTCGTATAGCATACATTATAGTATTCTAGGGGTCGAGCTACCTAGGCAATTTTCTAGCCAACGGCTCAGTCATGGAAAAATTACGATAAAAAAATCCTGCTCAATTTCTGGGAAGTGGGGCAGCAGAGGGTTAATGATGCCTGTTGCTTCAAATTATATTCCTTCATTCGTAAAGGAAGTAAGCCTAGCCCGAGGAAAACGTCAACGCGGCTGCGGTAAGACACTCCAAATAGAGCCGCCCATTGCTAGGAAAACTGATCACAGCAGGTTGCAAAGAGTAGTTTTCGTAGTTGGAGAAGAAGATTCGAGGCGGAGTTTGAGAGGTATGTTCTATCAAAAACTTACCGTTGTGAGTGCAGTTCTCATTTGATTTCGCCACTCTTGGCTCTCTTCTCTACGCGGATTTCTGTTCAAATCAGATTCCATCTGAAACACAGCTTATTCGGGATGCCGTTGAAGCTTCCGAGCCATATTTTGGAACGATTCTCCTAGAGGGTTTCCGTTAATACTGCAACAAAATCTGAAACTGTCTACTCTGGCAATTCTTGATCTTCTGTAAATTGAATTGAATACTGGAAAAGTGAGAAGTCTCCATCTTTGAAGTGGCATGGGAAAGGTCGATGAGAGAGTTTCTATCACAGCGATGTGTGAAGTATCCAGGCA